TTATTTTTTATTTTTTTTTTAGAGACAGGGTCTCACTCTGCCACCCAGGCTAGAGTACAGTGGTGAGATTATAGCTCACTGTAACCTTGAACTCCTGGGCTCAAGAGATCCTCTTGCCTGAGCCTCCCAAGTAGCTGGGACTATAGGTGTACCACCATGCCTGGCTAATTTTTCTTTCATTTTTTGTAGACATGGGTCTTGCCATGTTGTCCAGGCTGGTCTGGAACTCCTGGCTTCAAATGATCTTCCTGCCTCAGCCTCCCAAAGTGCTTCCCAGCACATTACAGATGTGAGCCACTGTACCCAGTCTACCATGCAGTTTTAAGTAGAAAATATCCCTTTGAAAAAGAGAAATATATTTTTAGTTGTTTTAAATGTGCTCTAGCCTCATTTCTTCAGAGGAGAAACAAAAATGTTTGAAACTAGAAAAGGCTCCTTATGTAATGGTCCTCATACCTAAAACTAAAATCGGGGCCACTATTATTCTCCTCTGTTCAGTATTTCTCCTTGATCATTATTCAGTTCTATCCATCCTTGCAATATGATCAAAGGTCAAGTTAACCAAGCCATTTTTAACTTGTAGGATAGATGTGCAGTCAAACTAAACTCATTGAATAAATTTTGGTCTAAAAAAGAATCATAAGCACTAGATACATGCTTGGATGAAGGTCTGAATGAATGGTAGAGAAGTTTTAATCCTGGCCCTAGAACTATGTTTATTTCTACCCTGCAGCCTAGAGAATAAATGCTCTCAGCCAGGGTTATCCCATTTGGGGCTGGAGTCCTCTAAAGCTTCCAACATGGTGCTCTACCATCGTTACAGCGCTTGGGTAAGAAGTAATGAGAAAAGAGCAGAGGACCCCCTTTCTCTAATACCTTCCCCAGGCAAGATTCCCAGCCATCAGAGGGCATATGGGCTGGATGAAGGATGAAGAACACAAGTTGCTTCAACTTAAAAGTGATGACCCTCTTATCCTATGACACACGATACAAAAAGACAAATTTCTATGTAGTTCAAAATCTTCTTCCATCTCTACCTTCCTCTTTCCTATTATATGCTGACCTCTTTTCCTTTGAGTCTTCCCTCCTTTTTTTCTTCTTTCCTCTCTCTTCTCTTTCTTCCCCAAGCATTTATTATTTAAGCCCTATTTTGTGCCAAGCATTGCTCTAGACGGGATGGATAACAGTCCCTGTCCTTGAGGAATTTCTGAGGGGGGAAATCTGCTAGAGTCTGTTGAGGAAGAGGTCCACAGTCAGTTCCTGCAGGGCAGAGAGCTCAGAAAATGCTGCAGCTTCCTGAACAATGAGTAGCTTTTGCCAGCGCTGTGGGACGCTGCCAGAGCAGAGAGGACAGGCAAGAAAACAGGCATAAAGCAACCTGGCTTCTTCAGAGAGCTGCAAGGAGCTCAGTGTTTTCCTCTCAGCTCCAAGAGGGACCTTAATCCTGCCACTTACTGCTGAAGTATCCACTGGAAACAATCTTTTATTCAGTGGAATCCCCAAAGCATTTCTCTTTCTCTCGCCGTGGCCCATAGGACTACTTGTACCATGGCGTCCATGGGGTTCACGCTTCACCCTCAACCATGAGCCCTCTGAGAGCAAATCTTGAATCATTGTGTTTTGCCTGCATTATTTACTTATTCGCTTGCCTGATTATTTACTTATTCACCAAAATTCCAACAATGATAAAGGAGACTTAAAGAGAAAAAGAGAAGAAAAATCACCTATCGATTGTGAATTCATTTTTCTTATGTTGTTCCCAGAGCCTTTCGTTTACAACATGCCTAAATGTCAATACTTAAACTATCTAAGGAACAGATATCTATGATGAGAGGTCTCTGAGGGTGAGTCTAGACTGAATTCTAGCATCTAAACATGACGAGTCATGATCGTATTTCTGGACACATCCTCACATGTGTTGTATCTTTCAATCATAAAATCAAACAATACGAGGCGGATCATTTAACCCTAAAATCAAACAATACAGGGTGGATCACAAGGAAAGGAAGGCTGTCTTTTAACACACTGCCATGCCCTGACAGCAAATCTAAAAGGACTGCATGCTTCTCACAAAACTGCTCAAAGTCAGAAGACGGCCTGGCCTTAAAATCTCCATGGGACGTGGCCTCTGTGGCTGTGGCACTGCAAAGCAGCCCTCTTGTCCCTTACCTGCTGTCAAGGTGAACCACGGGGAAGGTACAAGCATGGATTATTAGTCACCTTCCCTGAAAGCCTTATAAAAGCATAGGATCAGGCCCTCAAACTGGATAGGCAACAGCTGCTGAGGCAGCAGCAGGGTTGAGCAACACGGCCTCTGGAGTGAGCGCTCGTCAGGAGAGAAAGGCCAGTCTCTGAGCCCTCAGGGTCCCTCCTCGTGTTCCCAAGTGTCGCCTCTTTTCATGAGTGAAGTGAGGAACCTACAGACCTTGCAATGTGTGCACGTTCGAATTAGAGTAACAATCTTCCTCATTATCTTTTTCCCTCTATGAATCTAAATCCACATCAGACGTTTACTACGGTTATTCAGACAAACATGTATCAAAAACAATGTCAAAAAAATGTATTTTTGAGGCTGGGCATGTGGCTTGCTCCTGTAATCTTAGCACTTTGGGAGGCTGAGGCAGGAGGACTGCTCGAGCCCAGGAGTTGGAGGCTGCAGTGAGCTATGATGACGCCACTGCACTCCAGCCTGGGCAACAGAGTGAGACCCTGTCTCTAAAACAAAATGAAAGAAAATGTATTTTTGTGAGACAGACAGAATCTTCACTTATGGAGACCCCTCTGCACCAGCTGCTTTGAAAAACAGTAATCAGCTACTTTAGACACTATCAATTCATGCTGTATCAAGTTAAAAAAAGAAGACAGTTTTAAGACTTTACTATTTAGTCTTCAAATTACCGTGTATTTAATTTTGGTTCTAAAAATTCTGCAATGGCCTCTGGCCAAAAGCATGAAAACTCTGAGTGATCCACTGAGGGTTCTAGTGAATGAGATCTCCTGGGTCATACAAAGAGAAGAGGTAGGAAAACAGAATTCAGGAAATGCCTACGTTTGCAGTGGTTGGGAGGGGGAGGAAGAAGAAATGTTACCAGAGAGAGGGAGAAAGGATGAATCACCGAGGTCAGGTCAGGTCAGCTTACCTAGGCAATTCTTCTAGTTGAAAAAATCCATCACTGGTTATTCCAAGGCTGGCACCTATGTAGAAAAATGCAACTGAGATCACACACGGCATTGCTCTTTCTCTTGTAAAATAGTCACAACATTTTATACGAGAACCAAACGCTTTCTCAGCCAACATTCTCTCTGTTTTGACAAGTTTTGTTAAAGTCTCCACTTGGGAAGCTGCCAACCAAGTCTTCCCTGACTGAGTCAATATTTTTATTCTCTCTCTAGAAGTCGAAGCCATGATGGCTAAATAACTTTTAAATTTCTGTGAAGAACTAAGATGCTCTCGGCTCTCACGAACAGGCTCTTTGCTGGCTCTGCCTCGCCTCACACCCCAAGTGTAGGCAGGAACCCCCCAGCTCAGCCCCAAACCTCTTCTCTCAGCTTGTTCTTTCAGAGGTTTCGACCTCTCTGGGGAGGATTTCCAAATGCATGGCTCCAGCTCCCTAACTATCTCGCTACCCAATTCTCCGTCTATTTAGAATTGAAGCTTAACTTTCTCCCCCAAACCACATCTCTCGCTCTTCAGTCAACCACTTCCGTTAAAGAAGTCACTTTCCCTCAATAATCCAGACAAAGCCTTAAGTTGCCAAGCTGTGATTCCTTCTCTTAGCAGCTCCCTACCCTCGTATCCCATCAGTTACTAAGTATATTGCATTTTACCAAATCCTGATTTCGGGTGTTGAATATTTTTTAAAAAATGTGTCTTGGAATCAATGAAATATAGTTAACTGATTCTTCCTTCTCTCTGTCTTTTATGCCTGTTCTTGCCTCTCGTCCCTCAGATCTGAACTGAGATCTATCCACCACATGTCAGGTGTAAACACCAACTGGAAACTCCACCACCATCTCTCGCACGGACAACTGCACCACTTTTCTAACTAGTCCCCACCCTCTGCGCTCTCCCCCGTTCAAGTCACTGTCGGATGAGTTTCTAAAATTACCACTTAGATCTTGTCACTCCTCCATTTATACACTAATAATTATTTGTCACAGTTGCCAAGAATTTAGAGATTCCTTCATTTGGCTTCCACAATTTGGCCCTAACCCAATTCCAGTCTCAGCTCCCGTACTCACCTCAGGATTTTAGTGCTAGAAAAATTGGTTGAACTGGCCAAATGTCTTTCAAAGACATCTTTAATACCCACTGGTATTAAATCGAGCGCCTAATGGTCATTTTGTGAGCGCTTTTCCCAGGAAGTCTTTCTGGGCCATGCCTATCCCACCTCTGAAATCTCGACCCTCACTGTCTGGCAATGACCTTGGAACACTGACATTCTATTTTTTGCATTTGTTTTTATTATATATTTTTTAAATTAATAAATGTATATCTTAAAAATTTCAAAATGTACAACAGAGCATGTAGTGAAATAAACATAGAGTGAAAAGCACATTTCTTTCCGACCCTATAGCTTTCATCTTGTCCTTGGATGGAGTCACCATGACAGGGTTCCTGAGTATCCTTCCAGAGACATTCATTCACATATTATGGCCTCCCTGCCTTTTTAAAAATACATAAATTGTAGCATACTATACACACCATTCTAGTCTTTTTTTTTCCACTTAACAATAAACTTTGAATCATGCCTATCAAGGATGCTTATGTCCAATATTCCTCCTTTTTTATTTTTTTGAGATAGGGTCCCACTCTGCTGCCCAGGCTAGAGTGCAGTGGCATTGTCATAGCTCACTGTAACCTCAAACTCCTGGGCTCAAATGACCTCCTGGCTTAGCCTCCCACGTAGCTAGGACTTACAGGTACGCACCACCAGCCTCAGCTGATTTTTCTATTTTTTTTTTATAGTGATGAGGTCTCGCTATGTTGCTCAGGCTGGTCTCAAACTCCTGGCCTCAAGTGATCCTCCCATCTCAGCTTCCCAAAGTGCTAGGATTATGGGCGTGAGCTACCGTGCCAGGCCCCAATTACATTTTAAGTTACTTGAGAACAGTTATCTTTGTATCTTTTACAGCAGTTATTCTTTACCTTTGGGGGTCATGACACTTTTTAAAAGCTGGTAAAAATTATAAATCCTACTTCCAGAGAGGAAAAAAATTGCATAAATGCATACACACTCAAAATTTTCCACATAAATTCAGGTTGCTCATGGGTCTTATGATGCCAATCCATGGACAACACAAAAGATCTATGTTCGCCATTCACAAAGTCCTTATGAATCCAGCTGGGGAGCAAGACACCGACACTGTTCTTATGAGAGAACAAGGAGGTATGTTCATGATTCATCCCTGGGGCTTAGCTCCCATGTGTATAAAATGCAAAGGCAGATACGACCACCTCTGAGATTCCTTACTGCTTTATTCTTCCATACTTCTCCATTCAAGAGAGAAAAGTATGCACATAAAGGTTTACTTAGCTAGTTAAGCTACATCCTTACAAAATTTCTCTCCTGTAAACAAAACAGTAAATACATGGGTCTTAGAAATCACCCATCGGACAAACTGAAGCTGGAAACAATCTATGTCACGCTGGGAAGGAAAGAATGAGGCTCTCCCCGATTTTTCTCCATTACCTGTGCTATGTCTGAGACCAGAGCCAAATGAAATCTCTCTCTTTGCCTCATCACTAGCTACCACTTAGCCTGTTACAGGTGGGCTCTGCACAGACCTTCTCTAATAGCCTTTTTCAACAGAGAGAACCAGTATAGGCAGATCCCACGGCAAGGCTTGTCAGGGTGAAAGCAACGGTACATTCATTCCTCCCAACTGTTGTCAATGATTATTGCCTTGAAGACTCACCAGGGATCTGGCTCTCGTGGGGACTGGAGGGCACACCACCTGTGGCAATCAGGATGTGAGGAGCGGTGTATTTTTTCCCATTGACCTCTACCGTGGGCTTGGGATCATTTGTGAATGCTGCGTGGCCGTGGATGAATTCTATATTGGACTAGAGAAGGAATTGTGGCATTAGCCTGTTCTTAAGATAAAACAAAAACACCTGCTGTAACTTACCAGCTCTTTCATTTCTCTACTGAAATCGTTTGCTGATGCCAAGACAATTCTGTGTTGTTTGAGTTTCTGCAGAACTCCTGACTCATAACTGATACTTAGGTGAGGGGGTTGCCATTCGATGCTGGAAGTGTACCACAAGAAGAAACAAAGGTGCTATCTTGGGTCAAAACCCAGCAAGCAAAAAATATATGCAAGTCACTCCCACAAGAAAAAAGATGGCATCTTTAACCCCAAGAGTTGAGGGAGAAAGCCTTCCTCACTTGCAATGAAAACACATCACAGAATGATGTGTTTGGAGGAGGGGCGGAAGCCTGAGAAAAACAAACGGATTAAGGTGAAAAGAGTAGAAGCAAAAGAGAAATACTCTGGCCAAGGGAGGAAAATGCAATGGTTGTTTGTGTTTTCTCAAACAAAAGGGAAGAATATCACAAAATTACATGACAACGAAGTTCTATGCTAGATTTTTGAGAACTCAGACTTTGGTTTGCTCTTACTAGAAACTTCTGCACCGGCACCTTCATTTGGGGGCTGCTGGCAAACCTTCTGCCAGCCCTGATGCATGTCCTGGCACGCAAATGGGGGCGACTTAGGAGGACAATGGAACCGAGGAAGGATGATCACCAAATGTAATGTTTGAACATTCTGGAACATGCTTGGTTCTGCATTGAGTTATCTCCTCCTTTCCAACCACCCTCCATCCCTGTTCCTGCAGGTGCCCGGCTTAAGCTGCATCAAGATCAAAGACAAGCCACCAGCTTCCAGAACAACCTTCCCTCAGAGGTAATGATTTCCTGTGCAGCGCTGGATAAAAAGGGGTGTGGGTTGTTCGAGTGGCGATAGTACAGATAGTAGTCTGGGGAAGGGAGTGATGAGATTTTGATTTTCATTTTCTAGGATATTAGACAGAAAGTTTCCTCCCCTACACAGAATTTCTTGATCAACTATAACTAATTCCTTCTCCATATGGTCACCGTGAGCTATACTACACATCAAGATTTATAAGTATTAAAAAATGCTGATTCCTCAGTTAATTTTCCTGTCTCGTTTGCAAAAGTATTTTAGCTAGCTCAATTAAAAAAAAATGGTGTGTGTATTTTAGTATAGCCAGTGGTATCTCTATACACTGTGATTTTAAGGTCTGACAGCCTTTAAAAATCTCTTGTAGTCAGTGCATAGGGACTTGCAGGCCCTTAAATATATTTTCCCCCTGAATTGGGGATTAAGGTAAAATGAGATTACCCTCCAAAAAAATAAATCCAATGAATGGTAAGAATCAATATAAAAGTATATGAGGCTAGTCATCTATTAGAAGGAACCCACCCTGGCCGGGCGTGGTGGCTCAAGCCTGTAATC